TCATGTAAAAAGGGTCTCCCAGTTCTTTCTGCGACAAGTTTTTTGCATTATTCTCTTGCTCTGCAAGCTTATAATTTTGATATCGTTTATCGCAATACAAAGGATCACGGCAATGCTGACTGCTTATCACGTTTACCATTGAAATCTGAAGAATTGGAATTAAAAGATGATATTGCAGTATACCAAATTTCCCAAATTGAAACCTTACCCGTTACTGCCAAAGATTTAGCAAAAGCCACGCAGTTCGATGAACAGAATTCCTAAACCAGCAAAATTTTTAAAAGTTTTCCCAAGTGCACTTGGGAAAACTTTTAAAAATATTACAATATGGAGGTCAATTAGAGGGGAAGGAAAAATATACCTTACAGGATGGGTGTATTATGTATGGGCAACGAGTGTGTGTTCCAGACTGCTATAAAGCAAAAATATTAGACGAGTTGCATCATGGGCATCTTGGTGTAGTAAAAATGAAAGCAATTGCCAGATCTTACGTGTATTGGCAAGACATCGACCAAGGCATAGAAAATTCGGCGAAAAACTGTTTGGGCTGTGCTAGGTTCAAGACGGACCCAGTAAAAGCAAAAGTTCATCATTGGGAATATTCCAGTGCACCATGGGAAAGAGTGCACATTGATTTCGCAGGACCTATATTTGAACGGATGTTTCTACTTATTGTTGACGCCCATTCAAAATGGCTTGAAGTTTACCCCATGAAGACAGCCAACTCATTCAAGACAATTGAATGCCTCCGAGATTGCTTTTCACGTTTTGGACTACCTGTAGTGTTAGTTTCCGACAGCGGCACACAGTTTACTTCTCAAGAGTTCCAAACATTTATACGAAGCAATGGCATTAAGCATAAGACATGCGCCCCTTTCAAACCATCCAGCAATGGACAAGCAGAGCGCTACGTGCATACATTAAAACAATCTCTCCGTGCCATGCAGAACTTTGAAGGAAATATCCAGCAAAAGGTTAGCACCTTCCTCATGCAATATCGCAAGGCTCCTAATATGACAGCTATGATTAGTCCGGCTATGCTTTTCCCTAAGTGAGACATTAGGACTAGAATAGATCTTGTTCTCCTTGACTTGGTCGGAGGAGTCAATGAGAAGATCAGGAAAAGCACGTATGCTTTCCAAGATCGTATTTTTCACGAAGGTGATAAGGTGGCTGTTCGAGACTATCGCTCACCCAACGCAAGGTGGAAATTTGGAACTGTTATGAGCAAAGATGGAGCTCTTCATTACACAGTTAATGTGCAAGGTACATTGTATAGACGCCACGTAGACCAAATGCGACTAACAGGAGACCAGATCTTGGATAAGACTATTCACGTTCCACGAGTTAGTTTCAGCAGTGAGACCGCACACATCGGCACTACTGATAATTCTCCTGAATCCACTGATCCTGGGGGAGCAGTGGCGTACCTAGGGGGGGCGGTGGGTGCGGTCCGCACCGGGCGGCACTTACCTTGGGGCGGCATTTTTTATATTTACTTATAGTTGTAAAAAGCAACTTATTCATTTCATATTTATTTTCTTTCTTGAATAATGAATGATTATTATGATTATTATAAGTTTAATATTTGGTTTATATAAATTATGATTAACTATATGATTTCGAATATCATTACTCGGTGTATATAAATGCATTTTAGTGTAAATTTTGAATTCTAATTCAAGAACAAGATAATAATTTTATTTTATTGTATTCATTAAAATTCGTTGAATTCGTAAAAGGATCTTTACGATTTTGTTCGGCAATTTTTCCTAATTAAAATTTTTTGATATCAGTTTATAAATG